TATGAAAACATATGACCAAACATTTCAAGTGAATGTCAGACCTGTGCTTGAGTTAAGTCAATTGGCTTTTCCATACCTGGAAAAAACTAACGGCACTATAATTAGCACATCCAGTGTATTGGCTGAAAATCCGGTATGTTTTGTTTAGTAAATTGTATAAAATGAATAAAATTATTTACAAAACCAGTGATTGCCAAGTCTCGAACAGGTAGACCTAATAATTTTTTTAACTTGGTAATCTATCATGCATCACTCATAATAAATGTCACGCTATTTGTAATTATAGTCTACCTTTTAGTATTTATGTATTTATTATGTAATATCTTTATAAATAGTTCCCCGATCCGATATTAATGTTACTTTCAATTCAAGATAGGAAAATTAACTTTATGTTTATTATTTCACTCTTAGAGTAGATTAATGGCCGCGTATTGTATGTCTAAAGCGGCCATAGAAATGGCGACTAATGTGTTGGCCCACGAGTTGGGCCCTAAGATAAGGGTTAACTCTGTTAAGTAAGTGCTACTACTTTGATAAATCCAATATAACATTTTATAAATAATTAAACAATATTAATTGAATAATGTTTTCAGTCCGGGTATGACCAACACTCATCTGTTTGATGACATGGATCCTACCTTGTTCAAAACATTTATAAGCCAAACTGTAAGCAATACACCCCTACATCGGTTGGGTGAGCCCCTGGATGTGGCCAAAGCGGTGGCATTTCTGGCCTCAGCTGACGCCCAGTTTATTACCGGCGCTCACATTGCGGTTAACGGCGGCGTCCAATGGCTCGGCTTATAAATTAACAATATTTTATTTAACAAATAATTAATCATTTATAACTTGATGTGTAATTCACAATTACACTGTATAATAAATGAAAGGCTTAATTGTTTTTAAAATGATTTTTATTTCAAATATTTTTATAATAATTTTTTATAAAATAATTAATTTAGATTAAAACATAAATTATTAACAATTAATATCATGTCATATTTCTAAATATATTTAATTAATGTATTTAAAATATAATATTTAAAAATGCATAGTATTTGAATATTTTAAACCTAATGTAAATTGTATATTATTGATTGCACCATTTTATATAGTCCAATTAATCAGGAAGTGTTAAATATTTAGATCCTTTGATTAAAGTATTACCTACATTAATCATCTACATTAAAATACAAAATTGTATTCAAATTTATGCTTCAATTTGTAACACAATTACCATTATTAATGACACATAAATTAAATAAAAGTAGATGTGACAAAATTGTAAAAATTAAATTTAACCATTTTTAATATAAATATTTTGGAATAAATATATTATCTGCGTAAACGTTATTTTACATTTCTTATGCAATTTTTCTAAATTGAAAATTACAAATAATATAAGAATAAATTTATATTATTATGATATAAATAATATAATTAATGATATAATTATAATAAACCAAATAAAATAAAATGATCCGTATATTTAATAATAATTATAAATGGAAAATTAAATTAAATATTTAAAACAAAATTTATTAAAATATTTATATTATAATCCAACATAAAATAAATACGTATATAAAGAACTTGTTTAAAACTTTATGTAAATACATATTTGTAAACTAAGGCTGTAGTAAAATAAACACATGATGAATTTACTTGTGACAATTTCTTGGCTCCTGTCAATTGTATTGGTTGTAGACGCATTCACATTCAGTGCTCAACAGATATCTCAAGTAAAAAATGGGCGCAATTTCAAAGGCCGGGTAGTGTTGGTCACCGGGTCGTCGTCGGGCATCGGAGAGGCTATTGTCAAACTGTTTAGTCTATTGGGCGCTAAAGTGGTGGTCACCGGCAGGAGTGCCGCCAAACTCAAGCGAGTGGCTCACGAGGCGTACCAATTGTCGCCCAAAAAAATAAAAGTTTGTATTGTTTTTTAAATAATATATCTATAGTTAGTTTTTGAGACTAAAACATTGTTTAGTTTAATTAAACTGTTTATATATTTTACAAACTATTTAATAATCAAAATAATTTATGATAAACTTATTGATTAATTGACAGCCGCTGGAAGTGGTGGCGGATGTGACAAAAAGTGATGATTTGAAGAGACTTATTGACGAGACAATTAAAACTTATGGTAAATTAGACGTATTGGTCAATAACGCGGGTGTTTTTAAACTATCGGGCATTAGAGATAAGAAAAATTTCATGAAGACATACGACCAGATATTTCAGGTAAATGTCAGACCTGTGCTTGAGTTAAGTCAATTGGCTGTACCACATCTGGAGAGAAACAACGGTACCATTATTAGCACATCAAGTTTAATGGCCGAACATCCGGTATGTGTACATTAATAGTTAAATTAA